GATACATGGCCCCATTCATTCTTTCCTTTACACGGATCAGTCGTCCTGGTCCCTTTGCAGAAAAAACTGCCCCCAAAGCATGATTTTTTCCACCCCCATGCTTCACAGTAGGTATGGTGTTCTTTGGATGCAACTCAGCATTCTTTGTCCTCCAAACACGACGAGTTGAGTTTTTTACCAAAAAGTTATATTTTGGTTTCATCTGACCATATGACATTCTCCCAATCCTCTTATGGATCATCCAAATGCACTCTAGCAAACTTCAGACGGGCCTGGACATGTACTGGCTTAAGCAGGGGGACACGTCTGGCACTGCAGGATTTGAGTCCCTGGCGGCGTAGTTGTGCTACTGATGGTAGGCTTTGTTACTTTGGTCCCAGCTCTCTGCAGGTCATTCACTAGGTCCCCCCCGTGTGGTTCTGGGATTTTTGCTCACCGTTCTTGTGATCATTTTGACCCCACGGGGTGAGATCTGTGTGGAGCCCCAGATCGAGGGAGATTATCAGTGGTCTTGTATGTCTTCCATTTTCTAATAATTGCTCCCACAGTTGATTTCTTAAAACCAAGCTGCTTACCTATTGCAGATTCAGTCTTCCCAGCCTGGTGCAGGTCTACAATTTTGTTTCTGGTGTCCTTTGACAGCTCTTTGGTCTTGGCCATAGTGGAGTTTTGAGTGTGACTGTTTGAGGTTGTGGACAGGTGTCTTTTATACTGATAACAAGTTCAAACAGGTGCCATTAATACATGTAACGAGTGGAGGACAGAGGAGCCTCTTAAAGAAGAAGTTACAGGTCTGTGAGAGCCAGAAATCTAGCTGTTTGTAGGTGACCAAATACTTATTTTCCACCATAATTTGCAAATAAATTCATAAAAAATTCTACAATGTGATTTTCTGGATTTTTTTTCCTCAATTTGTCTGTCATAGTTGACAAAGTACCTATGATGAAAATTACAGGCCTCTCTCATCTTTTTAAGTGGGAGAACTTGCACAATTGGTGGCTGACTAAATACTTTTTTTCCCCACTGTAGTTTGTTACCTTTAACTGGTACGTACAAGAGGTCAGGGGTTAATGGGCTGAGTTCACTTCCTGTTGTTATTTACAGTAACTACTGTGTCTGTCTGTTTGGTCCAAGAAAATAGCTCTCCCTCTGTCTTTCTCTTTCTATCTATGTCTCTTCCTCCCTCTTTCTGTCTCTCCTTATCTCTCTTCCCCTTCCCCTCCCCCTCTCACTCTCTGCCTGCCCTTCTCTCTCTATTCCTTTTTCCTCTCTCCTCCCTCCCCCCTTACCGGAACTCTCCCTCCCCTCCTCCCTCCTCCTCTCCTCTCTCTCCCCTCCGCTCTCTCCCTCCTCCCCTCCTCTCCTCTCCCCTTACCGGCCTCTCCCTACTCATCTGTGCTCTGCTCTCCCTTACCGTGAACCTCTGGACTCCCACTCTCTCTCCTATCTAACCTAGTTCTCTCTTCCCTCTTCCCCTCCTCTTCTCTCTCTCTCTCCCTTACCTTAACTCTCCCTCCACTCTCATCTGTGCTCTGTGAGACCTCTGGATGCCCACCCTTTGGCCTGTCAAATCTAATGCCTGAGTCTCTCTCTTCCCTTTTACCCGTCTCTCTCCCTCTGTTCCAGGATTGCCAAATTAACTATCACTTCCTAAAGGTATCTCTCCACTCCTCTGCTCCTCTCCTCCCTTCCCCTGTCTCCTTTCCTCGCCTCTGCTCCTCTCCTCCCTTCCGCTGTCTCCTTTCCTTTCCTCTGTTCCTCTTTTTATCTACCTCCTTTGTGTCCAATCAGTCATTTTCTCACTCTCATCCTATCTCTGATCATTTGTACGTGGTTTGAGGCTGCTGCAAATAGATCCAGTTTACTAACAATTTGTTCTCAGTGTGGGGTTGGGATTAGCGCAAGAACAAGAGCCATCAGATAGCAGGAATTGCTATAATAAATAATTGTCTGGAGCTGTAAATGGCCTTGTGTTTTGTTGAGAATACCAAGTGTAAATCTGTCAAGCTGGAAGGGAAATTTGACAAATTCATTCTGGTATTATATAGTCCTGCAATAAAAATACATATTGCTTTTCTTTATATAAATATTGCTTTTCTTTATATATTCATTACAAATCTAGAGTTTATGGAACTATATACATACAGGTAGGCTACTTCCACAATAAAATAGGATAGTATACAAATGTTCTACAGGGCTGCCTTATTGGTTGCGGATCTACTTCCTCATTATATCATCCAATAACCTCTGTAGACCCCAAGGACAGAAGACAGATACATGTTTCAGTGCCTGTTCATTACAGGGACATTGCAGCCAACCCATCCCCCACATACACACTCTGTTCTTCTCCTCCTCTTCTCTCCCTCCCTTCCACCTCTATCTTTTTTTCTCGTCTACCGGTCCTCCACCTCGTCTTTATTCTTATTTTATTGTCATTTTTTTGTCATTTAGCAGACGCGCGTATCCAGAGTGACTTACAGTAGTGAGTGCATACATTTTCATACTTTTTTCGTACTGGTCCCCCGTGGGAGTCGAACCCACAACCCTGGCTACACCGGACCTCTCCCCCCGTCTCTTATTCCTCCCTCCTTAACTGAATAGGGGGTGTCCATGGATACTGCAGTCACATACACCTAACCTGGATGGACTGGGCATAGGGAAAGGGGGATATGGGGGGGTGGGAATTGGGCTGTAACTGGGTGGAAGGAGATTGTTAGTAAATGTTTCCCTGTCCATGTCTGTCTGTGTACAGTATGATGTCTGTCCGTGTGTCTGTCTGTGTATGATGTCCGTCTGTCTGTCTGTCATCATCAAACGTTTTGTGTCTTTTTTCTTTGTCTCTCTTATCACTATCTGGTCATATTTCTTCTTCCTGCTTTGTGGCCTGTAGGTTCTTTTTGGATGCTTGGTCTATACTAGAGCAGGACAGGGGGGGAAGTTAAGCTGTGTGCCTATTGCAATGAGAGGTCAATAGAAAGATAGACAGAACAGTTAGTTAGGCACGTCTCCATTTGTTCAGTTTGGACTTTATAGGGCCATAATGTGACTTTTACTATATCTTTATAAACACAAGCATTTCCGTTGCACCCGCTAATACATCTGCTAAACTGTGACTAAAAAGTGACTTATAAACTTTGATTTGAGGATTTTATTTATATCACGTTGTTTCATTGCTTATCCACAAGAGGGCAGTATCAAGCCAGGTTTTAAAATGCGTTGCATGTAGGTGCAGTGAATCGAATACAGCACAATTGTATTTATCATTATAAAGTTATCATGAAAAGCATGATTTATGGTTTTAGACCCTCAATTTCATAGTGTCAGTTTGTGGTCATTTTTTGTTAAGGAATTTGTCCTAAAGGAAATGCCACTCTAGACAAACTCTATCAGCTCAAAATGATTCTGAATGCATTTGTTTTGTCTTTTGTTAGTGAGAGAAAGAAACGCAATAAGAAAGCCATGGTTTTGAGTTTCCCTCAAGTTGAGTCCACACCAGTTACCACTAGCACTTCATTGTAAACCCAGTATGAGCGACTGGGCTCCTGAGATAAAGCGTGTCTGTATGGTAGTGCCACTGAAAGTATGGCTGTGTCTCAGCTGTCAGACATTATTTATTCATCTCTCCCCTGCTGTGGTTGCAGGGCCAGACAAAGGACAAAGCCAAAGTTCAGGTGCGTCCGAGAGGAAGTAAGGCCGGTTTTGCGAGTCTCTCCCTCTCGTTGGCTTCGCTTATAGGTGTGCTGTGGTCTGCATCGCCCAATAGTGTGCTGCCTATACCTTACTAGCTATTTCCCCTAGCCCCTGTAGCATAGACACTTGTCTAAATATGACAGGAGTGGAAAGGTGTAAGCAATATAGCGAAGTCTTCACCTAGCCTATCAGAGGGCAAGGTGGAGCTGTAACCTTTTGCTTCTACCTATCAAATCCTGTCAGATCTACATGAAGTGAATAGGGTGAGGGGCTAGGAATGATCTGGACTTGTGTATAGACGCCATTAACCAAACTAAAGCCGCCTGACCAGTCTATTACACTTTATCTAGCCAAGGGGAAACAGCAATATATTGACACAGAGAACCTCACACGTGAAGTGTCAATTTATTGGACAGATTCCAATGGGATCGACTGTCTTTGGTTCAGCTTATTTGGATTGTCGTATATTCTACACAAATGGGCTGCTTCATTGTTATGTGTAGTTTGTAATGCGCGTGGCTGCCAGCCTGTCCAGTGTACTAGACAGACGAGATGAGCTGTAGTGTGGACCGGGTTTAGCATGATTGTGCCAGCTGCTCGATTTGGCCCAGGCTCTTGAGCTGTGTGTGTGTGTGTGCGTGCGAGCGAAGGAGAGATTTGACACCTGTGAGTAAGGGTGAAGAATGAGGATGTCACCCAGGCCGTTGTGACACTGTCATGTTCCCGCTGCCTGGAAAACAGATGGAATATGCCTCTGAGAAATGGAGGTCGCAAGAGTGTGTGAGAATGGGTGTGTGTAGTGCATGTGTGTGTTCGAGGGCAAAAGAGTTTACCAGCTGGCTACTCTGCACATCTTGCTCTGATTATAAACCAAGCATGACTTGACGAGTTTTGAAGCTTTGAAGAGTATGTAGTGCGATTGATACTTGATTGAATGGCACATTGACCAATGACAATGCATTATCACTGAGGGTTTTGCCAGTGATTAATTAAAACATGTTTAGATGAATTTGAACATTTTGACCTAAGGTTACCATAATAGGTTACCATAATGACAAGGTCAGGAGTATTTAACAGGTGTACTATAGTTCCATATTTACTTTTTTATACCCTCTGTGTCTATCTGTGTTCCGTCTGCTCCAAAGTTTATTATTTGAATCATTTTTAATGTTGAATTGTGTTATATATTGTATTATATAAGGCTGCACAGCAGTGTGTGTGTGTGTGTGTGTGTGTGTGTGTGTGTGTGTGTGTGTGTGTGTGTCGTGTGTGTGTGTCTCACGCCGTTCCCTTCTTCTCACCACACACAGAAAGCCAAGCTGGGCCCTGGTACTAAGAAGGTGATCTCTCCATCAGATGACAGCAGGTCTAATCTACCTTCTAACAACCTGGACTCTGTCAAACTCACCGACTTCAACTTCCTGGCCGTGCTGGGGAAAGGCAGCTTCGGCAAGGTGAGCCAGGATTTTACTTGTATTATTAAGGAGGTAAAGGGGTAGTTTCCCAGACACAGATTAAACCTAGTCCTGGACAGAAAAGCACTTTCATTGGAGATTCTCCATTGATCTTGTTTTTTAGTCCAGGACTAGGTTTAATCTGTGTCTGGGAAACAGCCTCACTATGATTCGTCGGTAGTTAATCTAATTGGCTTCTAAAATCAGCTATCCAACTTGTCATGTTGAATGTCCTGTGTACCACGGGATATTATCTATCGGACAAATCTGAAATGGAGTAAAATCCAAGTCTATGTTGGTGTACGTGAGCAAAATCTAGGACTTGGTCACATCATCCATAATTTACACAAAACAGAGCCATACAATTAATGAGTACAATGCAATGTTTTGGCTTAGACCGTCCGTACCTCGATGTAACACAGCGTGAATAAATGAGTATATCCATTCGTCAGTTGAGTAATAAGCATACAGTAACAACATAACAGTTGAGTTAATAACATTACTATCCGCATTAAGCCACCCTATTAGAAGCCTTCAGTCTAACCTTTGACCTCTCGTGTTCCTGTGTGCTAGGTGATACTGGCAGAGATGAAGCCCACAGATGATCTGTACGCCATCAAGATCCTGAAGAAGGATGTGGTGATCCAGGATGATGATGTGGAGTGTACCATGATAGAAAAGAGAGTCCTGGCCCAGCAGGACAAACCACCCTTCCTCACTTCACTCCACTCCTGCTTCCAGACCGTGGTATGGAGACTACGGACACACACATGCACAAGGGGATAAACACACACACATACACACACGTGGGCATATGGGCACGCGCACATGCACATGTACAAACACACAATTACTTGCTTTTTGCTGTCCATCGATGTTGATGATTACGTTGCTCCCAACTCTCATAAGTGTGGTTATTGTGGTGGGGTAGGGTTTGTGCCATTGCATGTGTCTGTGCAGGCCACACACATACACACACACACACACACTCACTCATCAAGCTCCTCTATGACGCACACACACATACACACCACACATGTATATACCCACACAAAGTTCAATGAAGTTTTTCTTTGTTTTAATCTGTCAGCTTTCTCAGCACTTTCTCATTCCTCCTTAATGTTTAATCCCTCAATCTCTCTCAGGCAGAGACGACAAAGGGCAGGCGGTGGCCAACACACACACACACACATGCACACACACACATGCACACACACACACACACACACACACACACACACACACACACACACACACACACACACACACACACGCACACATCTCCAAAGTGGAAATAGAAAATTCTATGCATTTTAAGTGAGTCCAAATCCTCTTCACAATAAGATGCCTCGATCACTTTGAGGGTAATTGTTTAAGAAAACCATTTGCCTTGTCTGACAGGTTATGTAAAGCTAATGATGAGAAAAGTACATAAAATACCGTAAGCCTTATTATAATCTCGCAGCGTGATTTAATTTCAAACTATTCTTCAACAATGTGCGTTATAAGGAGCTGATTATTTAACTAGGGGTTAGTAAGCTGAGGAATACATGAATAGTCGCCTCTTCAGAACGCACAATGTTGAAGAAAAGTTTCGAATTAATTCACACTTCCAGATTATAATTAAGCGATAAGGCTCGAGGAGGTGTGGTATATGACCAATATACCACGGCTAAGGGCTGTTCTAAGGCACGACGTAATGCAGAGTGTCTGGATACAGCCCTTAGCCGTGGTATATTGGCCATATACCACAAACCCCCAAGGTGCCTTATTGCTATTTTAAACTAGTTACCAACGTAATTAGACCAGTAAATAGTAATTTATTGTCATACCCGTGGTACACAGTCTGATATACCACAGCTTTCAGACAATCAGTACTCAGAGCTCGAACCACCCTGTTTATAATGAGGTGTATGGTATGTTTTTGCGCTACGAAAATGTCTCCATGTGACTAGTGCAGGACAGACCGGTGAAGAGGCTATCTGAGGGATTTACTTCAGTTTGACTAGACATAATGGAGTCATACATAGGAAATATTTCTGAGGGGTATACCTTTTCCTCTCATGTTGTTGTTGTTTTGCTTTCTATAGTACTTAACACTCCTACCATATCCCCTATATGTGACTCAATACTACACAACAGCCTCACCACTGGGTCCTACAGTATAATGAAGAAAGCCTCTCTGTTTTTTATGACACAGTAAATGACGGTAGAACAGATGCCAACCCCAAGAAATATGAAAAACAATGTTAAATGATATTAAACACCCCCATCTCTGTCTCCCTCTCTGCCCAGGACCGGCTGTACTTTGTCATGGAGTTTGTCAATGGAGGGGACCTCATGTACCACATCCAACAAGCGGGCAAGTTCAAAGAGCCACAGGCAGTGTAAGTTACCCTCTTCCCTCGCTTTCACCTTTTAAATAGGGGGAATAAAAGAGTGTGAAAGAGAAATAAATAGAGGGCTTGGAAGAGCGAGGGGGAACTAGACTGGGCACTGCAAAGTACAGTGGAGAAAGAGAAACGACAGCCTAGGTATAAGAATTCATATTTCTATCAGAATGTGTCCAGTCTATAGCTGAAGCACATTTACAGTCCTTTACAGTCCTTCCTGTTGAAATTAATGGCTTCAGGGTTGTCTAACATGGAGCATGTCGTTGCAGGTTCTATGCAGCAGAGATCGCTGTTGGCCTGTTCTTCCTGCACAAGAAAGGAGTGATTTACAGGTGGGTCTTCTTCCAGTGTATACCAACTCAGAGGCACTTTATCCCATTCTAGGATCACTGTACATAAACTCAGCAAAAAAAGAAACGTCCTCTCACTGTCAACTGCGTTTATTATCAGCAAACTTAACATGTGTAAATATTTGTATGAACATAACAAGATTCAACAACTGAGACATAAACTGAACAAGTTCCACAGTCATGTGACTAACAGAAATTGAATAATGTGTCCCTGAACGAAGGGGGGGGGGGGGGGTCAAAATCAAAAGTAACAGTCAGTATCTGGTGTGGCCACCAGCTGCATTAAGTACTGCAGTGCATCTCCTCGTCATGGACTGCACCAGATTTGCCAGTTCTTGCTGTGAGATGTTACCCCACTCTTCCACCAAGGCACCTGCAAGTTCCCGGACATTTCTGTGGGGAATGGCCCTAGCCCTCACCCTCCGATCCAACAGGTCCCAGACGTGCTCAATGAGATTGAAGAGCACTTTTTGCCAGTCCTGTCTGGTCCAGCGACAGTGGGTTTGTGCCCATAGGCGACGTTGTTGCCGGTGATGTCTGGTGAGGAACTGCCTTACAACAGACCTACAAGCCCTCAGTCCAGCCTCTCTCAGCCTATTGCGGACAGTCTGAGCACTGATGGAGGGATTGTGCGTTCCTGGTGTAACTCGGGCAGTTGTTGTTGCCATCCTGTACCTGTCCCGCAGGTGTGATGTTCGGATGTACCGATCCTGTGCAGGTGTTGTTACACGTGGTCTGCCACTGCGAGGACGATCAGCTGTCCATCCTGTCTCCCTGTAGCGCTGTCTTAGGCGTCTCACAGTACAGGACATTGCAATTTATTGCCCTGGCCACATCTGCAGTCCTCATGCCTCCTTGCAGCATGCCTAAGGCACATTCACGCAGATGAGCAGGGTCCCTGGGCATCTTTCTTTTGGCGTTTTTCAGAGTCAGTAGAAAGGCCTCTTTAGTTTCCTAAGTTTTCATAACTGTGACCTTAATTGCCTACCATCTGTAAGCTGTTAGTGTCTTAACGACCATGTTCATTAATTGTTTATGGTTAATTGAACAAGCATGGGAAACGGTGTTTAAACCCTTTACAATGAAGATCTGTGAAGTTATTTGGATTTTTATTAATTATCTTTGAAAGACAGGGTCCTGAAAGGGGGACGTTTCTTTTTTTGCTGAGTTTAGTTTGTCAAACCATTAATTAATCAATTTAATCATTTAAATGTAAGGAAGTAACCGGAGTGGTGTAGAAAATGCCCCAAAATGGTCGTCTTCATTTGGACCTTGTCACATGATGCGGGTGTCTCCTGCAGGGATCTGAAGCTTGACAACGTGATGCTGGACTCGGAGGGCCACATTAAGATCGCTGACTTTGGCATGTGTAAAGAGAACATATACGAGGGAGTGACCACTCGCACCTTCTGTGGGACGCCCGACTACATCGCCCCAGAGGTAGGAACAGGGGTAGTGTGTGGGGAGGGGGAGGGTGGTCATTTTTGTCATTGTCTGGCCTGCGCCCCCGTCTCCGGGGCGATCCACATCCGAGTCGACAGCTCAGGGGACACACACACACACACACACACACACACACACACACACTCCAGCTGACTCTGACAAACATCCTTGTGCCCTTGGGTTGGTTCAAGCTTATCACAGAGAAGCCAAGGTCTACATATCATTGATTGTCTATGTAGGCTATGTCCTGTTGGAAAAGCAGCCTGCCTCAGCATCCTATTCAGGGAAGAAACACTGAACCCCGGCCGTAGAGAGTAACAATGCTATTTTAGTATAAATACTAATGTAAGCGCTATTTAAACCACATAAAAAGGTGTGGAAACACCCTTTACGTGCATTTACCCACCATTTAGGTGCATCCTATAGCATCCTAGCGTCTTGTTTTCTATTGATTTGTATCAGCACATCCACTACAGTGCCTCTACTGAACATTTTAAGTTAGAAAAACGTCAGTCTCTACTGAACATTTTGAGTTAGAAAGACTACAGTCTCAACTGAACTTTTTGAGTTAGAAAGACTACAGTCTCTACTGAACGTTTTGAGTTAGAAAGACTACAGTCTCTACTGAACTTTTTGAGTTAGAAAGACTACAGTCTCTACTGAACTTTTTGAGTTAGAAAGACTACAGTCTCTACTGAACTTTTTTAGTTAGAAAGACTAGTGTCTACTGAACATTTTGAGTTAGAAAGACTACAGTCTCTACTGAACTTTTTTAGTTAGAAAGACTAGTGTCTACTGAACATTTTGAGTTAGAAGGACTACAGTGTCTACTAAACATTTTGAGTTAGAAAGACTACAGTGCTTCTACTGAACACTTTGAGTTAGAAAGAGAGCATTTTGGGTGAGAATCTGCCCTAGATGTAACCAACCCAGTCAAGCACTGCCCAGTGAGGGACATCATATTGATTTCCTCTAAAACGTCCTCTAAGAGGTTTGGTTTCATGGTTGCCGGGGCTGGGTGGACAAGCTGTGACGGTGGTGGGGTACACACACACAGAGGGTGGTTGGGGTGGTGGTGAACCCCTCGGCTAATGCCCCGTCCAGCTCTCCCAGCAGGGGTTCCAGTCAGGCCCTCATAACTCCACACACACACTCTCTCTTTTTGAGTTTGAGAGACTTGAGTAGATGTCGATACCATTTTATTAGCTCCAATGAAGGGTTGGAAATGGACATTTACCCAAAAGCACAGTTTGAATTGCAGTCTGATTTCTTCATTTCTTCAAGTCTGATTTCTTAATTGAAGTGAAATTGACCTCAACCTCGTAATACGACAAGTTTAGCTTCCCCTATATGTATGTTTTATTCATATTGTCTTGGTATTTATGCTATGTTTTGCAATGTGGAAGTTTGCTATCCTCTGCGTTTGTCTGTGCGTGTGTTCATGCACTTTAGTGTCTGTGTGAGAGTGTATGTGTGCGTGTGTTCATGTATCTACACGCACCAGTGTGTGTCCCTTTGCCTGTCTGTGTGGGAGTACTCTTCCGTGTACTGTACGTGTGTGTGTCTCTTAGTTGTCAGGACCCATATGAAAAACAGCTCAGGCGGTCCCCGGGCACCTCTCTCGCTTTCGCCTGTCACCACCGCATTACGTCACACACACACACACACACACACACACACACACACACACACACACACACACACACACTGCATTGCTCTACTTCTCTCTCTCTTTCCGCTGTTTACCTCTCACCCTGACCTACATAGGCAGCCATGGGAAGGCTCTGAGTGCGTCCCAAATGGCACCCTGTTTCCTATATAGCCCTATGGGCCTTGGTCAAAAGCAGTGCACTATAAAGGGAATAGGGTGTCATTTGGGATGCAGACTCTATCAATCTGAGAGGAACACATTGGTCACTGTATGCTAATGTGAATTTACAGACTGTGTTACCGGAGTAACAAGCCTGTGAGATAGAGAGGGGGAGGGAGAGATGGAGGGGAGGAGAAATAGGGAGGTAGGGTAGAGCGAGGTAGAGGGAGAGAGACTGGGAGAGAGAGAGAGAGACTGGGAAAGCGAGCATGATGTCTTAGTTGTTAGGGAATGCAACAACTCACGCTGGCTTTGTCAACAATTTAAGCTGTCAACAACCTTTGCTGGATTACGCTACAACTTATTGTCTGCTTTGGCCATTCTTGGTTATTAAAATAGCATAATATCAGATACACCCTTATGGGCAGATTTTGTATTGTCAACTGAATTTAGCTACTATCTAATACTGTACCCAACTGTAAGTACTCATTTTGCTACACGCCCCAAAAAGTTGCACAACCCTCAAAATAGAAGCTGCTTTAGAGCTATCTTTGGATTGTCCTCTGGCTCCTTGTTTTGGCTTCAACAACTTCACTTCCTATTTTTAGGTTTTGTGCAATTAGTGGTTGCAGTGACAGATTTTTCAGATCAGAGCAATTAGTTCCTGTGTTCAGTCCTCTGTGTTGACAGAGGAAGATGTCGTGAGAGGAAAGAGAGAGGAGAGAAAGAGAAACTGGCAAAGTACATTTTTGTACTTTGTCAATGTGCAGTAAACTCAGCCTGACCTCCCATTTTGCCTCGCTCCCCAAAGCCTTTAGCGATAACAGCTAACATTAGCCAAAATGGAGACCCTTCAACTGCTCTGGCGTGCACTGGGTAGCAATTGCCCTACAGATCTAGGATCAGCTTATCTTGCCAATAACCTAACCCTAAACCAATAGAGACAAGTTGATGAGGGTCAACTTGGGGGTAACTCAATATACTTTAAAAGTGCAAAAAATTATTTATTATCTTGTAAGATTCAGTTTGATAAATTAACTGATAACTAAATTCCATTCTAACACAAAGTATAATAAACAGCAAGGATGGAGCCAGGTTAAAAGCCTGCATAGCCAGTAGTTCTCCAGCAGCAGGGTCCCTGATATACAGTAACTTATGGGTAATAATATAATATAATAATATGCCATTTAGCAGACGCTTTTATCCAAAGCGACTTACAGTCATGCGTGCATACATTTTTTTTGTGTATGGGTGGTCCCGGGGATCGAACCCACTACCTTGGCGTTACAAGCGCCGTGCTCTACCAGCTGTGATGAATCTGCTATTCTACTGAAAGCCCTACTGCCTATCCATTCAACAGTGTGACAGTGTTTGAATGAACACCATCAACCCAGACATTCAGCAGCTATTGTAGCCTAACTAGTAAAATACATTCGCTTCAAAACCTAGCAACAGACTAATGGCTTAATGTACAGTATGTTCATAGTGATATACGTCGCTTAAATGAATCCAGTAACACTGAGTGAGCCAACATCACTTTAACCTGCTGTAATGTTGTTTCTGAGATCAGGCTGAGGTTGTGTAGTGTTTAGCAGTTATCATCTTGTCTCCCTAGCACGGCGCTCATTAGTTCCTATGTGCAGGAGGCTATATTAGGAGCGGTAGTAGTGGTGGAAGCCTTGAGTAGCTGTGAGCGATCCAGAACTGTCATGTAGCATTAGGCCTGATGCGAGACATCCACTGCAGCTCGGATGTACAAAACCGCACGCACACAATTGTTATTATAATAATTTTTTTATTTAACTAGGCAAGTCAGTTAAGAACAAATTCTTATTTACAATGACGGCCTACCCCGGCCAAAACCCGGACGACGCTGGGCCAATTGTGCGCCGCCCTATGGGAACCCAATCACGGCCGGATTGTGATACAGCCTGGAATCGAACCAGGGTCTGTAGTGACGCCTCTAGCACAAATACACGCATTAACAACGCAAGGAAATTTACATTTGCCTGATGTAAAAATACACACACACACACACACACACCACACACACACACACACACACCACACACACACATACCAACCCACGCAGAAAAAGTACACATACTGTCCACATACATGAAAACAAACACACACAGGCACACACACACACTCACACACAGTACGTTACATTGAGTGATCTGGCCATAGGCCTTTATGGAGTGTGGGAAATGAAAGAAAACAACATGAGAAAGTGGAGCGACAGGTCATCAGAGTGTATGTCCCTATCACATTCATTATGATGCCAAACCAGAGAAGAGACTGACTGGGACACACACACACACACACACACACACACACACACACACACACACACACACACACACACACACACACACACTTGCAATCTCTCATATACACAGTTACAGACTGCATTCACACAAACACACACAGTCCGTCTCAGACAGACAGACAGACAGACAGACAGAGACCGACACACACACACTTAACTCAAACAGGCATTCTCACAGAAAACCCTACACACACTCCGCCACACAGTGCTGTGCATGGAGTTGAAGGTCACCATTTCCAAAACTGTAAATGCCCGGTGGCATTGCGACAGGCAAGGACAGCGGTGTCACATTGGTGCTCGCTGCAGTATGGCCTGAAACAAATCTAAGTACCTCTCTGTCAGCATTACCTCATTATTCTGTGTCTCTCTCGCCATACACTGTCATGATAGGATGATGCTGTGAGGATATCACATTCTTTGTTGATCTGTGATCATGTCAGCACGCTCATATATTCAGTCATCAATGGACACGGTTGGGTTTACATTTCCGACCGTGGTAGAATCGCGATCCTTGGAGAACCTGTCAAAGCTCTGAGACGTGTGTGTGTGTCTGTGTGTGTGTGTTGGTTGAGGTAAGGTGATTCTTTGTGTTATGCTTGTGTAACAAACGTGAGCTAACAGGCTAGTGAAGCGCTGGTAGCCATTATGCGGAGATGTCACCTTCCTTAAAAGGTTGTTAGTTTGCGCCCAGGTCTGGAAGATGGACAAAATGGCCACAAGTATTTTAAATGTTTACATAAAATATATCATGATACTCAACAGGTTTTGAATTTGAGTTTATTTCAGTTTTAATTGCAAACAGAATGGAACATAAAGTTTAGAGTAGTAGCAACCTTTTTACAGTAGCCTAGCATTGCCATAATTCACATCAATGGACCTTTACATCATAGAGCACAGATGTATTTGAGTGAGTAAATATCTAAGAGTTAGCTACTGAGTAAATAGCAGAATGCCATTGAAGGTACTGAGGTTGTATCCATTGTCATCATTGTCATTGTAGACCAGGGTAGTTTCAGTGTTGAAAGGTCCTATGTTCCCTACCTTGATTCCCAGTGCTGCAGAGAAGGCCGCCATTGGTCTGTCTGTGCATGAATGAGAGTACACACTCTATGACAATCTATTTGACAGTTAACTTCAAATTAAGTTATTCCTGACCGTGTGATCTGAGGGTCATAAGTTTTTTCCTAAATCTGCACTTCTGCACTATTTTTATGCTTTTATTGGTGACTGTTTTGAGTAAATCTGAATATACGGTCAAAGCTAGTGTAGACATTCTCTAGTAGTTGAACCTTTATGCCATGTTTATCTATGCATGACAAGTTTTACGATGCATTATAGCCGCATTATACTTGGATTCTTTTAGTAAAGTGTTACCCAAATATATTCTCTATCCATAGTATTTGCCAATAATATTACCTTCACATTTTCTCTTCAGCTCCTCCACCTGGTTCTCACTGGCTTTCAGTCTGGCCTCCATCTCTCTCAGCACAGTGTAGACGTCAGGCTGGCAGGTTAGCTGGGACTGTGTTGAGGCTGCAACCTCATCTTTCAGTTTCAGATTCCCATCCTCTGTAGCTATGTCACTGTCTGACTGACCCTGTCCCCCAGACAGGCAGTAGCACAACAATGTCATCTGCAGAACTATAGTGGTCTTCATTCTTAATCTGGACTCTTGAGTCGTTTGTTCTCCTGTGATTTCTGATCTCTAGTTCGTGGTTTTATAAATCAAATCAAATCAAATCAAATTTTATTGGTCACATGCGCCGAATACAACAGGTGCAGACATTACAGTGAAATGCTTACTTACAGCCCTTAACCAACAGTGCATTTATTTTAAACAAAAAAAGTAAAAATAAAACAACAACAACAAAAAAAAGTGTTGAGAAAAAAAAGAGCAGAAGTAAAAATAAAGTGACAGTAGGGAGGCTATATATACAGGGGGGTACCGGTGCAGAGTCAATAAGCACATATCCTTTTGTGCACGAATGGAAAGTTCCCTGGATGACTTTGTTCCAATTCAACGTGGCTACCTTTCAATCATGTTCAAGTGCTTAAGAAACGTTAGCGGTTATGGATTGAAGTGACCTGCTTCTTTTAGCACTTCATTTCAGTTTGGGTAAATGTATTGCAAAACTATTGTCTCCCTTTGAAATACCCTATGAGTCATTTGTTTGGGTTTCAAATACTTCATCTGTGCCTGGTTGAGCTTGCCTTGCTTAATAAACTAATAGAAAAAGTCCCCAAATTCCACTCCAACTGGACTCAAGCAAACACTCAAAATATTTGAAAATGTTTGTTTAAGTCTGTGAACCCAGGTCTGGTGTTTACATTTTAGGAGTGTGTAAGCTCCTGTAAATCATTCTTTCAAGATAACCTTCTCATTCAGGTCATGGGTTTTTGCCAATTCTGTAACCCATGATAAATACATTGAAGAAGGACATAAAGCTATGAGCAACAGCAAATGTTTTGCCAGACCTCTAAAGTGCACTCTACAGTACACCCAATAATATGACTAAGAACATACACCTATGAATAGGCTACATGTGATAATATCAAGGAATCATGTGTAAAACAGCATAACGAGTCACTGTTGGTTTGTGTAAATGCAGGATGGAAGCTGCCAGAGGCAGGGTTATTATGCGTTTCATTCTGTAAACACAAACACCACGGCTGTACTAAACAGAATATTAATGAAAGAAAAAACATATTCATATGAGTTTATTTCAGATATTGAAATAGAGTAGAATGGAACAAAAAGTACAGAGGTCCATTTACATTGTCGCAGTCATTCAAATCGGTGATGCCCTCTAGAATACATGTTCCATTATTTCAAATCTAGCTTTTTTCACATGAGTTCTGAGGTGTTACTGGGTAAATAGCAGAATGCCATTGAAGGTACTGAGGTTGTAGCCATTGTCATTATCGTAGATCCATGAGTTGGTACTGAGGCGCATGTAGAGCTGGTCTCCTACCTCAAGCATCAGTACAGCTGTTAAAGTACCAGCAACACTCTCTCCATTTTTATATAGAAAAATGTACCCATTGGGTTAGCCTGCTGCAGTGCGACTAAAGAAGGTGAAGTGGTATGTTCCTCTCACTGGTGCTGTGAAGATACCTGTAGCAAAGGAGGGGCCTTTAGAGATCACATCTTCTCGGGAAAAATACACATTTATTTACAGTATATTAATGGAACATTACACTTCAAAAACAACGTTTTTGTCTGATTTTCAAGTTGTGTCCACATACCATTCCATCAGTTGTGGAAATCATGCTTTATGCTTAAATCTCAATTGAATGGAAAAGATAAGCTCATCCATTCATTTTGTTCTGTTGCATATAGCTGGATCTGTCAAACAGATGGTGTGTAACAGAAGACTGATTTTGGAGTTCAATGTCTCTTTAAAAGTCTTTATGATTGTCACGCCCTGACTCAGGGGACTCTTATATGTTGAGTCAGGGTGTGGTTTTCTATGTTGTGTATATCTATGTGTATGATCTAGTATGTGTAGATCTATGTTGGCCGGTGTGGTTCCCAATCAGAGGCAACTGTCGCTCGTTGTCTCTGATTGGGGATCATACTTAGGCAGCCTATTGGCACTAGTTAGTGGTGGGATCTTGTTCCGTGAGTAGGCTTGTTTTGTGTGTAGCCTTAGGACTTCACGTTTCGTTGGTTTATTGTATTGTCGTGTGTTTATTCAGTTTAATAAACATGTACGCATTTCACGCTGCGCCTTGGTCTGACCTGTCCTTCAACGAACGTGACAGAAGATCCCACCAAACACGGACCAAGCAGTGTGCCCAGGAGGACCGAACACCCTGGATACAGGTGGGGAAGATTTGGTCTTGGGAGGAGATATTTGCAGGAAAAGGACCCTGGGCGAAGAAGGAAGCCCAGGCAGGAGAGGAGCAACGGCAACACAGAAGCCGGCCGAGGAGGAAGCCCGAGAAGCAGCCCCAAGAAAAAAAATGTTGGGGGGCTAAAAAGGGGTGGTCGGGGAGCGAGAGAGAAGAGCCCCGACCACTGCACCCGGTGGGTTTCCAGATTGATTCCCTATGACCATGGGAAGAAGAGTGGGAACAATTCTATACTGAGGAGTCGGAGGATGACAACGACGATGAGTTTCTGTTCCCTATCTCGTGGGGGCTCCCGGAGGAGTCCTCACTGGAGGAGGAGTGCCGAGAGAAAGAGAAGGATCGGATCGGCAGGGTAAGAGAGGAGGCCACCACTTTAAGGGGGCTGATAGCTACAATGGAGCGAGAGAGATCCATTCAAGAGGAGGCACTGCAGGAGGCTCGTAGGGAGAAGGAGGAAGTAGAGGCACAGAGAGAGGAGCTGGTTAGGCAGCATAAGGAGCGGGGGTTAATAGAGGAACCCAGGTATGCGGAGAAACGCACTGTATCGCCAGTGCGCATGCACAGCCCAGTGCGTTCTGTGCCAGCTCCCCGCACGTGTCGTGCGAAAGTGGGCAGCCAGCCAGGACGGGTTGTGCCAGCTCTCCGCTCCAGACCTCCAGTCCGCCTCCACAGTCCGGTCCGGCCTGTTCATGTTCCTCGCGCCAAGCCCGTGGTGCGTGTTCCCAGTCCGGCCCGTTCCTGTTCCTCGCACCAAGCCAGTGGTGCGTGTCGCCAGTCCGGCCCGGCCTGTTCCTGCTCCCCGCACCAAGCCAGTGGTGCGTGTCGTCAGCCCGGTACAGCCCGTTCCTGCTCCTCGCACCAAGCCAGTGGTGCGTGTTCCCAGTCCGGCCCGGCCCGTTCCTGCTCCTCGCACCAAGCCAGTGGTGCTTGTTCCCAGTCCGGCCCGGCCTGTTCCTGCTCCTCGCACCAAGCCAGTGGTGCGTGTCGCCAGTCCGGCCCGGCCCGTTCCTGCTCCTCGCACCAAGCCAGTGGTGCGTGTTCCTAGTCCGGTTCGGCCCGTGCCTGCTCCTCGCACCAGACCAGTGGTGCGTGTGTCCAGTCCGGCACGGCCCGTGCCTGTTCCACCGGTGCCTGGTCCGGCACCGGTCAGCTGCTCCACTCCGGAGCTAGAGCAGTCCGCTCCACCGGTGCCTGATCCAGCTCCGGTCAGCTGCTCCACTCTGGAGCCAGAGCAGTCTAATCCACCGGGGTACAGTCCAGCTCCGGTCAGCTGCTCCACTCCGGAGCCAGAGCAGTCCGCTCCGGTCAGCTGCTCCACTCCGGAGCCAGAGAAGTCCGCTCCACCGGTGCCCAGTCCAGCTCCGGTCAGCAGCTCTACTCCGGAGCCAGAGCAGTCCGCTCCACCGGTCCCCAGTCCAGCTCCGGTCAGCGACTCCAGTCCGGAGCCAGAGCAGTCCGCTCCACCGGTGCCCAATCCAGCTCCGGTCAGCGGCTCCAGTCCAGTCCCAGACGTCAGCCCCTCTCCAGGTTCGGGGTCTCCCACACCAGGGTCCAGACAGGGCTTGGTACTTCGTGGGAGGAAGGAGAGGGGAAGCAGCGCGCCGAGGTCCAGACCAGACCAGGGGCGCAACAGGGAGGCGGAGAGTATGTGGTCGTCACGCCCGGAGCCAGATCCGCCTCCGAGGCGGAATGCCCACCCGGCCCCTACCCTGTTATGTAAAGGTTGTGTGGTCGGAGTCCGCACCTTTGGGGGGGGGGGGGGTACTGTCACGCCCTGACTCAGGGGACTCTTATATGTTGAGTCAGGGTGTGGTTTTCTATGTTGTGTATATCTATGTGTATGATCTAGAATGTGTAGATCTATGTTGGCCGGTGTGGTTCCCAATCAGAGGCAGCTGTCGCTCGTTGTCTCTGATTGGGGATCATATAGCAGCCTATTGTCACTCGTTAGTTGTGGGATCTTGTTCCGTGAGTAGGCTTGTTTTGTGTGTAGCCTTAGGACTTCACGTTTCGTTGGTTTATTGTATTGTCGTGTGTTTATTCAGTTTAATAAATATGTACACATTTCACGCTGCGCCTTGGTCTGACCTGTCCTTCAACGAACGTGACAATGATATGGTTTTGGGCATCACATTACCTGTAGTGGGTTTGTAGTGGTTGCCAAAGTTATCTGTGGGAAATGTTATGTAAGATAGGCCTGTTGTTGAGGTGATTTATGGAAAAAAGTTAAAATTTTTCCATGATTTCAAATATATCTTTATTCATCTATTCTGAGATGTGTTACTGGGTAACCCCAAAAAACTCTTCCTTACCTCAGGATACTTCAATTGGTGACTGTCCAGGAAAATAAAGAAATGTCACCTGTTGAAGTGTCCTGGGGTAAGGAATGTTTTGGGGATTTTCAAGTCACTCAGTCCAAGCACCTGATTCCCTTTTTTGTTCAAGCTGGGCTGAAGTGCGTTTGGGTACACCTTTTTTCCACTGTTACTGGGTAAATAGCAGAATGCCATTGAAGGTATTGAGGTTGCAATAACTATCTGTCCAGACCCATGAGTAACCCTGTTAGATCCATTGTCTACAACATCAAAAGCAATTGATCTGTAGTTTTTATACATTAAAAGGAATCCATCTGTCACGATTCTTTAAAGCGGAACCCAGAAGCAGACCAGGACAAGGTGAGTTGAATGAAGGTGAGTATTTATTTAAAGACTTAAATGTGGAAGCAGGAGAATCCAGGTGACGGAGCTGGCATTGGAGGTGAGTTGGTGGGAGTGAATGGGCAGATCCAATGATGTTTCTGAAGCCACAGACGACCAGGCAGAGGTGGAGTGAATATTCCAGGAGAGTAATGTTCATGGCTAACGATCCGGCAGGGAATGGATGTCAGGTCAGAGCCTATGAAGTGGAGAGGTGAATCAGAACCAGGTGTGCAGATAGCTGATGAGATGCAGGTGCGGGTAATAGAGAGATCTCCCGCCTTGCTTTGTTGCCCGGCAACCAGACAGGGTGCGTTCAGGAAACTCAGGAAAAAAGACTCCAGGACAGAAAACAGGCAACTCAGGCAGAAACCGACTCAGGAAGCGGGATTCCTGACACCATCCCTGTCTGTTTGATTGACTATAGAAGGTGAAGTGGTAGATTTGTTTCACTGGTGCTGTGAAGATACCTGTGGCATAGGAGGAGCTTAATAAATGCTTATCAATATTCATGAATTAATTAACATTGAGGATAAAATCAACTTTAATAATATACAATACAATGCTTAACAAACAGTTTACTAATGGTTAACAAACATTTGAATAATTGGTTAATATAAGTACAGTGTTAATACTGTAATGCTTTAGCTGCTACTACTGATATAATTTAATGTAACAAGCCTCAGCACACAGTCTATACTCAAACATACCTTGTTTTCAAATTGTTTGTTTTTCACATGACCTGTCTTGGGGTTGTAGGTCTTGCCGATGTTGGTGATGACCTTCCCATAGACCAAAGTAGTTTCAGTGTTGAAGGCTCCTATGTGTATTCCAGTCTCTTCTGTTCCATCTGATAATCCCACTCTTGTTCTTTCTGTGAAGGCAGAAATTAGACACATTGTGAAAGAGATTCATTACAGTGCATTGCTACTTTCATATTTCAAAATGTATATGATAGACAAAACATTGTAGATGGACTCAACTCAACATTAGACCACTATTGGTAATATATAGTCAATATAAAGTTTGTCTAAAAAAACTTAAATTACAGCTCAATTTGAGCAAATCCTGAATTTGTGATTAATCCTGTGATTAACTCGATTACATTTTTAATCAACTATTTTTTTAGACTTTAAGAATGTGATAACAACCACTCTTAAGTCACTTTTGGTTTGTGTAAATGCATGATAGAAACTGGTAGACGAAGGTTGATTCTTTATTTATTCTGTGTTATTCTGTAAACACAAACTTGACCAACAGAAACACCATAAGTGTAGGAAAGAGAATACTCATGAAACAAATCGACATACAGTGGGGAGAACAAGTATTTGATACACTGCCGATTTTGCAGGTTTTCTTACTTACAAAGCATGTAGAGGTCTGTAATTTTTATCATAGGTACACTTCAACTGTGAGAGACGGAATCTAAAAGAACATTGTATGATTTTTAAGTAATTAATTTGCATTTTATTGCATGACATAAGTATTTGATACATCAGAAAAGCAGAACTTAATATTTGGTACAGAAACCTTTGTTTGCAATTACAGAGATCATACGTTTCCTGTAGGTCTTGACCAGGTTTGCACACACTGCAGCAGGGATTTTGGCCCACTCCTCCATACAGACCTTCTCCAGATCCTTCAGGTTTCGGGGCTGTCGCTGGGCAATACGGACTTTCAGCTCCCTCCAAAGATTTTCTATTGGGTTCAGGTCTGGAGACTGGCTAGGCCACTCCAGGACCTTGAGATGCTTCTTACGGAGCCACTCCTTAGTTGCCCTGGCTGTGTGTTTCGGGTCGTTGTCATGCTGGAAGACCCAGCCACGACCCATCGTCAATGCTCTTACTGAGGGAAGGAGGTTGTTGGCCAAGATCTCGCGATACATGGCCCCATCCATCCTCCCCTCAATACGGTGCAGTCGTCCTGTCCCCTTTGCAGAAAAGCATCCCCAAAGAATTATGTTTCCACCTCCATGCTTCATGGTTGGGATGGTGTTCTTGGGGTTGTACTCATCCTTCTTCTTCCTCCAAACACGGCGAGTGGAGTTTAGACCAAAAAGCTATATTTTTTTCTCATCAGACCACATGACCTTCTCCCATTCCTCCTCTGGATCATCCAGATGGTCATTGGCATACTTCAGATGGGCCTGGACATGCGCTGGCTTGAGCAGGGGGACCTTGCGTGCGCTGCAGGATTTTAATCCATAACGGCGTAGTGTGTTACTAATGGTTTTCTTTGAGACTGTGGTCCCAGCTCTCTTCAGGTCATTGACCAGGTCCTGCCGTGTAGTTCTGGGCTGATCCCTCACCTTCCTCATACCCCACGAGGTGAGATCTTGCATGGAGCCCCAGACCGAGGGTGAATGACCGTCATCTTGAACTTCTTCCATTTTCTAATAATTGCGCCAACAGTTGTTGCCTTCTCACCAAGCTGCTTGCCTATTGTCCTGTAGCCCATCCCAGCCTTGTGCAGGTCTACAATTTGATCCCTGATGTCCTTACACAGCTCTCTGGTCTTGGCCATTGTGGAGAGGTTGGAGTCTGTTTGATTGAGTGTGTGGACAGGTGTCTTTTATACAGGTAACGAGTTCAAACAGGTGCAGTTAATACAGGTAATGAGTGGAGAACAGGAGGGCTTCTTAAAGAAAGACTAACAGGTCTGTGAGAGCCGGAATTCTTACTGGTTGGTAGGTGATCAAATACTTATGTCATGCAATAAAATGCAAATTAATTACTTAAAAATCATACAATGTGATTTTCTGGATTTTTGTTTTAGATTCCGTCTCTCACAGTTGAAGTGTACCTATGATAAAAATTACAGACCTCTACATGCTTTGTAAGTAAGAAAACCTGCAAAATCGGCAGTGTATCAAATACTTGTTCTCCCCACTGTATGTTCATATGAGTTTATTACAGATATTGAAATACAGTAGAATGGCATAAAAAGTAGTACAGAAGTGTTTTTACAACATTGTTCTTTTACAACATTGTTGTTTCTACAATACATTATTTCAAATATATCCTTATTCATGTGTTCTGAGGTGACACTGGGCAAATAGCAGAATGCCAGTGAAGGTGCTGTGGTTGCGATATTTCCCTGAGTTGGCTTCAAGGCGCACATAAACCTGATCTCCCATCTCAAGCATCAGTACAGCCCCATTAGATCCATTATCTGCACCATCACTAGATGTTATGTGATCTGCCGTACCAACAACTATCTCTCCATTCTTATACATTAACAGAAATGCTTTCTTGGCTCCATATGTATGGTGAAGTGGTAGTGTCCTCTCGCTGGTGCTGTGAACATACCTGTAGCAAAGGAAGAGCTTAAAAGATGGTTTATAAATATACCGATTTTGAAGTTGATCAATCATTACAATTATTAATAGTTTACTGATGGTATTGCTTAACATTTTTGTTATTTTTTATTATCAGCACAATGTAAATACTGCTACTACTAATGTAACAAGTATCAGGACACACCAGATTTGGGGTCAATTCAGAATCAAGTTGTGAATTGCTCTTTAATTCTAATTAATTCTCCATTTGAATTGGATTGGAATTGGACACACCCCACAGGAAAACATTTGGATTATATTTTAATAAAATTAAGTCAAATTAAAGAATATATTTCCAAATTGTCACCTGCTTTTGACCTGTTCAGTTTAGTTTGAGACTGAGTGTGGCCTGGTAAGCCAAAAAAACAGGACAACCAAACAGAAAACGATCCAATATTGTATTTAATATTAGGGAAACATGTTAAAGTCTGCAAAAATGTATTGTGTGTGCACATGTGTAAGAGAGGGATGAATATTTGAGTTTGTTTGTGAGCCAGTGTAGGAGTGTGTATGTGTGTGTACGTGCATGTGTGTGCATGGATGAGTGTGTGTCCAGCTCCCTAAAGCTTGAAGGTAAGTAGCTTGCGTGCCATAACAGCACAGTGCGGAGCCAGAGGCTCTTCTCAGGGCTCCCAAGTGGCAGGCGTAAGTCAGGTGTTACACAGAAAAGGTCACAGGGCAATGTGGAGCAGAACTGCTCTCACATATCACACCTACCAGGTGATGAAGGGAGACCGTAACCTTGGTCAGCATCAGACTTAGGGGGCTCTCACACTAAACTCTTTTTTTCTTGAGAAAGAAAGTGAGAGATAGTGTGAGGGTGTACCGGAGGGGTTGCAGTGCCTCTTGAAATAAGATCACACACACACACATACATACACACAAAGACACACTCTCCTTACACACACACACACACACACACACACACACACACACACACACACACACACACACACACACACAGGCACACTCTCCTTACACACGCACAAAGACACTCTCCTTTTACTGTACGTGAAAAACAAAGCACTGACCTCATTCCCCACCTCATCTCCATGACATAATTGCCTATCTTTTATTGATGCCCTCCCTCTGGCAATCCCTCGCTTTTCCCCTTCTTTCTTGTCCTCTCTTCCAATCTGTCTGTATCACCCACTGGAGCGGGGGAGGGGAAAAAGAGGGAGTGTTGATGTATTTGTTTATGCACTCATTTATTGAACACGTCCTGTGAAAAGACACAGATTACAACTTCCCATTTGCGACACTTTCCAACATGACACAGTAAGACACTCTTGTTTTTCTTCTAATACTCAAGGCACCTCTTCAGCTTCATCTCTACCGGTAGCCTTCTATTTGTGTAGCTGCTTCTCCCCTAGCACTGTTGGGGCTTCAGTTGTATTGTTCTCTGCTTCTACCATACAGTGGGGAAAGAAAGTATTTAGTCAGCCACCAATTGTGCAAGTTCTCCCACTTAAAAAGATGAGAGAGGCCTGTAATTTTCATCATAGGTACACGTCAACTATGACAGACAAAATGAGAAGAAAAAAATCCAGAAAATCACATTGTAAGATTTTTAATGAATTTATTTGCAAATTATGGTGGAAAATAAGTATTTGGTCACCTACAAACAAGCAAGATTTCTGGCTCTCACAGACCTTTAACTTCTTCTTTAAGAGGCTCCTCTGTCCTCCACTCGTTACCTGTATTAATGGCACCTGTTTGATCTTGTTATCAGTATAAAAGACACCTGTCCACAACCTCAAACAGTCACACTCCAAACTCCACTATGGCCAAGACCAAAGTGCTGTCAAAGGACACCAGAAACAAAATTGTAGTCCTGCACCAGGCTGGGAAGACTGAATCTGCAATAGGTAAGCTGCTTGGTTTGAAGAAATCAACTGTGGGAGCAATTATTAGGAAATGGAAGACATACAAGACCACTGATAATCTCCCTCGATCTGGGGCTCCACGCAAGATCTCACCCCGTGGGGTCAAAATGATCACAAGAACGGTGAGCAGAAATCCCAGAACCACACGGGGGGACCTAGTGAATGACCTGCAGAGAGCTGGGACCAAAGTAACAAAGCCTACCATCAGTAACACACTACGCCGCCAGGGACTCAAATCCTGCAGTGCCAGACGTGTCCCCCTGCTTAAGCCAGTACATGTCCAGGCCCGTCTGAAGTTTGCTAGAGTGCATTTGGATGATCCAGAAGAGGATTGGGAGAATGTCATATGGTCAGATGAAACCAAAATAGAACATTTTGGTAAAAACTCAACTCGTCGTGTTTGGAGGACAAAGAATGCTGAGTTGCATCTAAAGAACACCATACCTACTGTGAAGCATGGGGGTGGAAACATCATGCTTTGGGGCTGTTTTTCTGCAAAGGGACCAGGACGACTGATCCGTGTAAAGGAAAGAATGAATGGGGCCATGTATCGTGAGATTTTGAGTGAAAACCTCCTTCCATCAGCAAGGGCATTGAAGATGAAACGTGGCTGGGTCTTTCAGCATGACAATGATCCCAAACACACCGCCCGGGCAATGAAGGAGTGGCTTCGTAA